AGATCTGGAATGTTGTGTACGAGAACTCTGTTCCAAGTGCAAGCAAACTTTGCATTCTTGGAGCAAAAGATCACAAATTTGGAATTTCGTAATAAAAAATCCAGATTTAGACAAATTTCGAAAAAATTTTTTCTACTAATCGAAAAAATAAGCTGGATTATTGATAATCGCCAACTGTAGGCAAGGCGATAAACACCCGAATCACATCTCTTGCTATTTTGACCAGCAGTTTAAAACTGAGAAGGAGCATACCCACAGACTGGACCTCAGGTTAAAATTGTTTACAAATCTTTTGAAACCGAACGTGCCAAAATTCATATCGACGGTGGTTTAGTATAAAGTTGAAAGAGGGATTCCGAAGGATTGTGATTTAGAAAATTCTTTACAAATGCAGCACATTGAATTTCCAGACACCATATTCGGCATAACTTCATTACTGGCTGGCAATCGGCCGCCCGAACTATTTTGTCCGTTCGCAACTCCTGCACATTCCACATCAGTTATTTGGAGGACGGCACGATTTACTTGCCCACGCGGAACTAGCAAGGTATTAGTTTGATGAACTCGAAATACTGAAAATAGTAAATTATCACACTTCTTGCTCAGAGATCTGCGATTCAGGACGTGATTTGGTGTAGCCGGCTTGCACTTGCCTGCACTCTCTTCAGTGCACATCATAACTGTCCGCTCCTACTGCTCCAGCCCATTGAAAACTTCTCTCGTGCATTGTGCTGGTGTTCGAAATGCCCAGTTGCAGCAATGTGCCGAAATTACTATAAAGTGGCGAGTGGGCAAATTATAGGTAAATGAAATAAAAATTAGTTGTTCTAGGTTCTCTTTATGTGTGAAAATTTTGGGACGAATAATGGCACATGTGCAATGGACAATATTCGAGTGCACAAGCTCTTCGATGTGCTTGAGGTTGAGCCCTGTCAAAAGGACATCGTCGCCTACTCGTAAGAAATGATCGAACAACAGCCCTGCGATCTTTGTCACATGAAAAATTCATTCTTGTACGTGTCAGCTCACACCATGTCGTATTCAGAGCATTCAATTTTCCCTGCAATCGCGGACGGGGAAAAAAAACTGGTGGAACAGTCTCAACGAAACTGGGATCAATTAGAGCGAGAAATTCAAGCAACAGCATTCCAAACTGAGGCACACGGCAACAATATGCGATCTAAGGAATGTTACAGAGCATACATGATCGAACCATTGAAAACTGAAAGATAGCCTATTTTGGGCTTCCCACTCTTCGAAACTCTGAATACGCGTCTGATCTCAACCATTATTTAACAAATTTCAGATTTAACACAGAGTTTGCTAAGCAGTTGAAAAAAAAACACAGGTTTTAACTGGCTCGCTTACCTTTGGCTTCAACATATAATGGTACG